AGTCCAGTTCAAATTCCCCCTTCCTGGTACCTCTTAATGCTACCTTGCAAAAAAATCTTGTTTCTAGAGCTTTTTGAGGTATATCTGCTTTAATAATCTGATTTCCTCCACGCACACCTGATACCAACTGTTGGCTGATACCAACACATGCACTAACACCCATGAGATACACTGGCACTGAGGTACACACTTCTTTGTGGAAGTATAATGATTTTTAAATGTATGTATGAAATGGGAAAGAGCTGTGAGCGGCAGTATACGGGGAATGAGGAGGTACTTGCTGCTTTGTGAGATACAATCCAAAATTGCTCCTTTCCAAGTGCAGCTGCCAAGAATTTGAAACCCCTGGCTTGGCCTCCTATGAGTTTTTTCCTATTGATCCACAGTGTTCTAATGCAGGGGAGGAAGGGGATGTGCTGATAAGTAGGAATGATCAAAATGCTGGAATGCAGCCTGTCAAGCCAGGGCAGCATCCTGCTCTAGTGACCCTCTTTATTTCTTGTGTGTTTAGGGATACTTCAGAATTTCCACACTCTCAAAGTGGATAGGAAGGGATGGTGAATGCTGGTATGCACTTGCAGATTAGTACTTGGACATGGTCAGGTATTGCAGGCAGTCATTAAAGGCTTTATATGGCACACACAAGGTGCAGCAGACTAGATTTGATTGCCAGGATGAATTTCCTCATGTGCTCTTTTGAGGTGCCTGTGGAGAATGTTGTGCTGCTCTTAAAAGGTTGCTGTCCCAGCAATTTTGAACATCAAAAAGAAACAGAATGTCTTAACTCCTTGTTTCATGCCATTAAGCTATTAAGAAAGCACTCAATGTACTTCATTTTCGAGATGGTGATTGAAATTCCTACTTATTTCACCAGCTTAGAAGCATAACAGCACAGTGGAAGGTTGCCTGCAAGTTCTGTCACATCTTTTTTCTTCTTTTAAGTATAGAAGTTAGGTTTGAGTCATCTAATGGAAATACTGAACAATCCCTACCCTTTAAGGCAGCAGACTGGGAATATATTAATCCAGCCAGAGAAGCTGAGTAACTTATTTGCATAAATGACTGACTTTCCCCACTGAGGGCTGAGCACATGCCTGTTATTAAGGTATTTTATTAGCCTTAGGCATAGGTTGAGAAGCAAAAAGCCAGAACAGTCTCTTTGCTCCTCCTGAAAATTGGGTTGGGATCATACCTAAATGCTCTTCTAAAAGTGGTATTTTGGAAGGATCCTGTTATTGCTGATATTAGAATCCCAAAATGTAAGGGCAATGGCAGCAAATATAATTCCCTTAAGTATAAGAAATTACTGCAGTGGGTTTAAAATAACCTTACTTTTGAACTGCTTTCATGTCTTTAAACACAGCTGCAATACTAGCAAAGATAAAAGTCAAATAAATCCTGTTATTTTGACTCAATGCTGACCATGAGTTGCTAAGGGAAGCAGTTGGGAAAGAAGCTTTAATACAAGGCTATCTTGGTTGAACTTACGTTTGTCAGTGTTCTCACTGTTAGCACACATGAAGAAAGTGAAGGGTTTATATAATAAGCCCATTAAATTTCAAGTGCAAGCTGCTTCACCAGACTGTGTTTTTGGTGATGCACAATGCCAGCTTCTCGTGAACAGGAGTACACAAATGTCCCAGAGGCTGGTGGGAAATTGTGCAAGTACACTATTAGGGAACAACAGAATTGCAGGCTTAAAATCCCTATTTTGAAAGGTCTGTACCACCACAGGATCATTAGGGTTTTTGTGTCAGGCCCTGCAGCAGCTGGAGAGGTTTTGAGGGTGAGCATGCCTGTATTTTTATGTGTTACATATCAATCTCTGTGCACTGTATGGAGATTTTACTGGGAGAAAATGGCAAAATTAAGTAACATCCTTGCAGCATCATCCTTGGATGCATTTAGTGCTACAGCAGCAGTGCTTCACTCTTGCTTTGAATCCATCAGGATTATTGCAGCTGCTTTACTCTTGAGATCTTTTGTATCTATACAGTAAAATTGAAATCCTGAGACAAAGATGTGTAATGTGTAATGATTTTTATTTGTAGAGAGCCTCTATGATACATGGAGGAAAACGTGTAGCATTTTATAATGTGCTCTGCTGCATCAGACTGCTAAAGGAATATTGGATAATGCAGCTCAGTTACTTCCTGTCTGCAGAGCTGGACTTGTAACAATTTCTGGTCCAAAACACCTCAATAATGCAGCAAAATCCATTCAATTCTAATATTAGCAAAGGAAAAGCAGCATTTGATCTTTCTTTAATCTTCTCATGCTCTTTAATAGCTCCAGTCTTGGTGATGCATGTGCTGCTTTGACGCAGGTGTCTTACTGTGTCATACCACAAATGACAGGTTTTCTGCCTGGGTTGTGTTGGTCTGTAGTGGGGTAAGACCTTTCAGTATCCTGTAGTCTCATATTGCCTTCTTTGCACTGTGAGAGAACCATTTGCCACATGTGGAAGAGAAAGCTGTGCTTAAAATCAGACCGAGTATTTTTTATGTGGCTACAGTTTACTATGATCACTTTTTCTTCAAACAAGGCTGTGCTGTGAAATGATGCGTTACAAAAACATTTTGGCAATGGTACATGAAGAAATAAACCCAGCCTAATTTAAGAGCCCAGTAAAATTGACTGTGAACAGTTTTCAATCCTCTGAGTGCATGTTCTTTAGGGAGAAAGAATCCTGTGTCACTCTTAATCTCTTTGAAACTGTCAAGTGTTTTGTTGCTGTAAGCGTGGAGCTTGCCAACTTTTGGCAGATAATTATTTTGTTCTCTTCCAAATTTAACCACATTGCATTCAGGCCTCCCATTCAGAACAACACATTCTTCTTAGGCATTATTTTTTTCCTCACAGTTCAGTAAACACTTAAGAGCAGGTAATGTATTGTGCAAGTGTTCACAGGGCAAATGGGAAGCATTTTGAGAGCCAAGATGAGAAATGCATCAATATGTGCAGTGAAGGAGATTTGCAAAGCCTTGGCATTGAGGAGACTACTCAGATGGGGAAGGTTTATCGTGATCCAAAAGTAAAGAGACTTTGAAAATAGTGAGAAAAATATTATCTACTTCACTTTCTGTCTTGTCTGTAAGATAATTGAGGTAAAAAAGTCCTCAAATCAAACAGAAGTATTCAGTGAAAGCAGTCTTAAACCAGAAGTATCTCTCAGTTCTGCTGGAATTCTTCTCTTTCTTAGTACAATATTTAACTACAATCAATAGAGTTAAAATAAGGATTAAGTTTAGAAAGAATGCTGGCACTTAACTCAGGGAGATGGCTGAGCTATTCTTAACTGTAACATGTCCATCCTTCTGTCCAGAACAAGAACATCATAAAAGGAGTAAGAAACTTCTTATACCCTATTAATAGAACCCATCCTCCCTCTCTGTTGGAGCTGTGGAAGGCTTTTCCCCAGTGCTTGCTATTGTGTTCCGACACTAACGCTCTGTCACTTCTATTGTGCACACACATCTCTGACCCTAGGAATTATTTCTATTCGTAATTTAACCAAAACCAGCTGTGCACAGATACAAAGCCTGACAAAAGAGGCATGTGTGCTCACTCACTCATGGGTTGTACTTATAGTATAGTACAGAGGAGCTTTATGAACTCAGGACAATCATGCTGCAGAAATGCTTTACAACTATGTATGAGGGGGGAAAAAAGCTGGCCCTGTTGGAGTGCTTTGCACCAATGTCCCCATAGTAACACTGCATTCCAACTCTGTTTTATACTCGTAACAAACAAAGAATTTTAAGTCATATAAAGGCAGAATTAAGAGACCTTTTCTCTTCTAGTGCCACCAGTGCATACTTTCTGCAGCTGCTTGTTTTCTTCCACACCCTCTCCCTGTTGATGTTGTTCCTGTGCTGCAACCCAGCTGTATTCAGAGCAGTTAAAATCATCTAAAAGGCCAGAGTGGATGTTTTAGCTCTTTTAAAGGATTGTTTCATGTTCTGCTTGCAGATTTATGTTACTGATGTTTTCTTCTACACTGGCGCGTGTTGCAAATCCTGCCTTTTCTCCAAAGCCAGCTAGGTTCTGATAACAGCAAAAATGACAAACTTCAAAATGTGGGAAGAAGGCTAAAGAATTAGTTCCTTTACTGCTACCCCATGAGGAAAAAAAGCCAAAGAGAAGGGGAAGTACATTAGTGACTACAAAAGAACAGGGAAAAAAAATAGCAGTTACATTGTGGTATAGTGCTTCTAAAACTAGAATTCCATGATTTTACTAATGGGGATAACTCCCACTTTCCTCTTACCTGTTTTACTTATCCCAGATTGTTAACTATCCTTTCTGTGTCTGATTTAATACCATTTTCTCTTGTATTTAAGAGATTAACTTAGTTACATGATTGTATTCTTTAACCAGAGTCAAAGCTATTGCTAGCTTGGCATTATTGCAAAGAGTTTAAATTTTAAGTATGAAATGGCCTCATTGTATTGGAAAGACTGTATGTTGTGGGACAGAATTGCAAGCTTAGTAACTTGTGTAGTGAAATCATCATGAATACTCTGTGCACAGGGAGCTTGGGAGCTCTGTTAGCTTAAGAAATAGGTTTGGAAATGTTCTTATTAGACCTTTGGGAGCTGTATGGAAAACCCTTCAGACAGCCTGGTGAAACACTGATAATTAGCATGGGGTTTAATCCAACACAATTGTTTTGTCGTGTGGTATTTTAGAACTAGAGGGTTTTATCTGGGGATTGTCATTGTGTACAATGAACAACTTTCTTTTTGGAGGGGAGAAATGCGGCATTTTGGGTGTTTTAAAAATTGCTTTACCTGGAAAAGTCTATATGAGGAGCATATTAGTAAATGGATTGCTTGGAATGCCACCGTGACTTTATCATGGGGACTCCAAGATGGCTCAGTCTGTTCTACTAAAGGTATGAAGGGCTTTGTGCCTCCAAGTGCTGGTGATGTCAGTGAAGGACCCCTCTGTATGCCCTCAGGAATTGTGTTGATAGTTTTCTTTTTCCATCTCTCTAGGCATATGAAAGAAGGTTTCCTACATGTCCTCTGATCCCTATGTTTGTAGCCAGTGATACTGTAAATGAATACAAGAGTGAGGATGAAGCTATCCATGTGATTGAACGGCGCTGTAAGCTGGATATTGATGCACCACGGCTATTGAAAAAGGTGAGTTAAGTCTGAAGTGCCTGTTTTATGCTTTTGGATATCCTTTCACATGGGTTTTATATCTTAATGGACTCTATGTCATCTTCCTCAGATTGCAGGAGTGGATTATGTCTACTTCATCCAGAAGAATTCTTTGAACAGACGAGAAAGGACTTTACATATAGAAGCCTACAATGAAACCTTCTCTAATAGAGTCATCATTAATGAGCACTGCTCTTACACAGTGAGTAACAGGCTCTTGATGATGCTACAGGTGGAGCTGGGGCAGTGTTTAGATTTCAGGACAACACAAATTTAGTTGTTCTTGGTTTTTGCCTTGCAAGAAAAAGAATAACTGACACACCAGCAGAAGTGAGAATTATTGCTAGTGTTAAATGTAACACGCTTGCTTGAAGAACTGAAGCAAGTTTGGCACCCTCTTGCTTGAGCATCTTCTCAGAGAGCAGAATGCAACACAACTTGCTGTGTTTGACAGCTCTGTTCAGGCAAATCTGAGGTTTGTAATAGCAGCATGGGGCTGATGATACCCTGACAGAACTGTTAAAGGAAAGTTCAGTGTCACTTACTCGCCATCTGCTCAGCTCAAATGTTCATTGAGTCAGCTTTGGTTTAACCTCATTTTTTCCATAATTCTTGTCTTCAGTACAAAGGTTTTCTGATGGAGGAGTCTGGTGGCATGCTTCCTGCTGTGCTCTGGTCCTGTTCTTTTTGGAATGACTTAGCTACTACTCATAGGCTCACACAGCACACACATAGTGGTAAAACTTCAGATCAATGTTAAAGGTCAAATCAAAGCTAGCAAATGTAACTGATTTATTTGGTTTGTAGCGTTCTTTCTGTGTGCAGATGATAACATTTTCTGCTGTGGCGAGAACCATGGTTAGAAGGCCACTGGATGTCAAACCCACTTGACACTATCATCTGATAAATTTTTAATTATTATTTCGGCAGTTATTTCCAAGGCACATTTAAAGCTACTTCTCCACCTGCAATTTTTCTGTGAAAGCTCTGTTTAAACAAGTGAAATGCTGTATAGAAAAGTGCATGCGGCAAATACATACAAATCGCTACACATCTCCTTGCCGTTGCTCTATTTGATCAGTAAATTAGTAGGTAAATACAAAACCAGAATTTTAATTCAAGAATAAATTGGTTTGAAAAATGGATTGTTATTAAAGTCATTTTATAATTGAATTTGAGAAAGGACAGGAAGTTTCTTAAATATTGTTACTATGATTTGTACGTATTTAGGCTGTACAAGCTATTTGTGTACCCCACATTCTCTAATGAAGAAGAAGCAAATGAAGGGAAATGTTTTCTTTTCTGTAATTGTCCTGTTATGAAGCATTGAATCCTATTCCCAGTCAATTCCAGCGTGTTTTGAAGGTGAGGGGAGCTTTAAGGCATCAGGACAGTTGCATGCTCAGAAATCCAGCCTTCCGTGATATTTGTGTAACTACCAATTCAGAGCCCAGCCTGGAAATCCTTAGACAAGTCTTCTTTTCAGAGGGTTTAGAAAACAGTTTTTCTTCAGCATATCATCATCAATCATAGAATCATCCACCTTGGAAAAGACCTTTAAGACTGAGCCTAGCTGGAAGTAGTAGCATCTCTATTTCAGGATCATCTCTCAGCAAAGTAAGATATAAGCTAAGAATAGAGTTGGGAGTGCTTGATGATAGCTTATTCAACTGTCAATCAACTGAGAAGTAGCATTATCATAGGAGAACAAAGTAAAATAGTTTTCAGTCTACAAAATATGAAGTTGCCTTGCACGTCAAGGAAACAATCTAGTGCAGTGTGTCTGTTGCTACAGTGCTTGGAAATACTGACACTACTTGCTACAGTCCTCAAGCTATCTGGCTTTGGTCATCAGTTCAACCTGCAGCAGCAGAAATCTCAGTGCTCCACATATATGCTACAGTCACAGCCTGTGTGTAGAAATTACGTAGTGTTAGTTGTATAAATGTGCTAGTCCTTTGGCTCTTGGCTGATACACTGGTATTTCTCCACCCTTCCCTTTTTTGTTAAGAAAAAATTGTGCTGTCCTAGCCATGGGTAGAACAAGAAACAGTCATTTCAAATACTGGGAGGGAGGAAAAATACGAAATGAGTAATTAAAGCTGTATGACTTCCTTTTACCTAATAGGTTCATCCTGACAATGAAGACTGGACCTGTTTTGAGCAGTCAGCAAGTCTGGATATAAAATCTTTCTTTGGTTTTGAAAGCACAGTGGAAAAGATCGCCATGAAGCAATACACCAGCAATATTAAAAAGGTGAGCTTGCAGTCACGAAGCAGGTGCCTGGCTCCCAGTTACCAAAAGACAGCATAGCCACTGCTAAGTAACAGGCTGCTCTGCTCAGCAAGCTGGGCTGTTTATTTAGCCTGGGGCAGCATGTGTGTATAGGTCTGTATTTTCAAGTGGAATAATCTCGAAGAGGCCTGGACACTCCATGGATTTTCAGACCAATCTGTTCTGTGTCTAAATGGGTGTTTTTAGTAGCTGAAGTATATTTTCCTTTTTGAAGGGAAAAGAAATAATAGAATACTACCTGAAGCAGCTGGAGGAAGAAGGAATAACTTTTGTTCCTCGTTGGACTCCTCCTGTTGCATGTAAATCAGAGGGCATTACATCTCACCCAAGACGACCAGTTTCACCTGCTATTAATATACCAGACTCTGCCACAAAGGAGGGCTTGAGCAATAAGGAGATCCTCAACACCTCAAGCAGTCCCTCAGAGCCCACAGCAGGAACACCTGATGGTATGGTGGTCTGACTTATTTTGGTGGGATTCTTTGTTCTCTAGAGGCTCTCTACACTGAGCTGCTTCTGACGGGCAGCTGAAAATCTTTGCATTGGCTCTTTGGTAACATACAATGTTAAAGTGCAGGTTAGCAAAGCAGTAACATGTGGAGTAGCTTAAATAGCTGTAATGTGCTGATCCTTTTAGTAAAGGAAGGTCAGGTATGAGTGGAAAAAGTCTTCAGTTCGCTGTTCATTAAGCTGCAAATGAATGGCCTGCTGCTTTCCTTTGAAATTCAGGATAGGCATTACTATAGCAATAATGAGGAGGAGGAAAGTGCTGAGGGTTTCCTGGACAGTCCTCTGTTGTATCTTCTTAATATGGGAATTTTGGAAAATTTTTGCACTAGGAGATTCAGATCCAAGGTTCTCTAAATATTTTCAGAAGAAGCAAGCTTTATGGTGCTGTAGATTGACAAATATGAATGTACTGGCAAAATGCTTTTATAAATGTCTGGTTTTACTCCTTCCCTTAGTTGCAGAAGGAGAATTAATCTTGGTTGACCATTAAGATGACTGTGTAAGTTGCCTTGCTTGTCTTTGATTGAAAGAAATTTCATTCAATTCTGACTGCACAGAATACACAGCAGTCACTTCTCTCCTTCAGATAACAGTAGTAAGGTCACTTACTACTTTGGCTTGGTCAGTTCAGGACCGCTCTAATCACATGTGCATCTCCTTTTAGACAAGCTAGATGCAGACTACATCAAGAGGTATCTGGGTGACTTGACCCCAATGCAGGAAAGCTGCCTCATTCGGTTGAGGCAGTGGCTCCAAGAGACTCACAAAGGCAAAGTAAGTTACTCTTGGTCTCCTATGACTCTGTGTTACAGTATGTGATATACAAGGTGGACATGCTGAAACATCATAGGCACACCTCCTGTCACTAACCATTCCTGTTAAATGGCACTTCATGACCAAAACCTGGTACAGTGGCAATAGAAGTTTGTTGTGATGTGACTGTTCAGCTGGTGTTGCCAGTTGAGGTGCTTAAATGATTAGTGTGACTGCCTCAGAATGTTAGCAAACCAGCACAGGGAGGATAACATCAGTTTTATAACTCTGCCCGGTTCTTCAATAACTGTATTTCACATTTGTTTGTTTTGGCCAAATGTCGTATTTTCAAATCTGTGTCCCAAAGTGCAGCACGTAAGGGGAAGCAATGTGGCCGGTTAAATCACTGATAAAGGCTGGGGATTTTCCAGAGGCTTGTGATTGGCATGTATGGCTCAGCTTCCTTTTGCTTAACAGCAAAATACAGTCTGTCTTTTGTTGCTAGATTTGTTTAAATTGACTGACTTAGTATGGTCACACAGGTGTAAATGATTACATTGGAGTTCATGACATTTTTATATCCCTTATATGAAGGTAGCTGCAGTATCTGACAGGGCTCATGTTCTTGTTGCAAAGACTGATTTGCTCAAGTAACTTCCAGTGTTACATACTGTCCCCTTGCACTGGTGCAGGGCTGCATGTTTTTCAGTGTCTATCATTTGGGTTTTTTTGTGCTTGTTTCAAACCTTGAATACAAAATTGGGGTTTGTTTGTTTGGTACTTTTTCATTAGATCCCAAAGGATGAGCACATTTTAAGATTCCTACGTGCCCGGGACTTCAACATTGATAAAGCAAGAGAGATCCTTTGCCAGTCGCTGACATGGCGTAAGCAGCATCAGGTAGACTACATTCTGGATACCTGGAACCCTCCTCAAGTACTCCAGGATTACTATGCAGGAGGCTGGCATCACCATGACAAAGGTATGCTACATAGGGTGAATACTGAACAGCCTTCTTACGTTCTGAATTAAAGGTGGTAGTTGTCCCTGTGTTAACTAGAGGCGGCTGGAAAGATGGTTGGAACTTCTCAGTTATGTACTAACTGCATTGAAATTGATGTTGCCAGCTTCTTTAGCTGGTGGAGGCAGACTCCTAGGTCCTAGTCTTTCTGACTAATGCTTGACCTACTTAACTCTCTCAGGAGCTCTGCTTTGCCAGTAGCTTAAGAAAAGTTGTTAATTGCACTTCTGTAAGTGCTTGGAGATGCTTATAAGTGTGTTATGCAAATGCTGAGTATTCTTTTTCTGTGATTAAAATATGTTTGTAAATAAGTATATCTTTCTAATCAATTTATTTCTGATGTTGTCTAAGTCTGCTGATGGCATAAATGAATACTTATATGGCATTACAATCAGCTTAATGATGAAAAGTGGTATGTTGCAAAAACATCAAACAGAGCACGTTTATTTAAGAAGGGAAGAAGCTTTGGCTGAATACCCTTTGTAAGGTGAGCCACAGACAGATCTTTAAAACATGGATGACTGTGGCTGACATGCTCCCCTATCCCTCAGCTTGCTTTATCGTGCACTGATCTTGTTGCTAATATGTACACAGAATTGGAATTTGTTGCTTGAAGCAAGCTGGGCTCTTTTGATAAGGAAATGATCTCTTACTGTGAGCTATCTGTGTTCTGATTTAGTCTTTTCCTCACTCAGCACCATTGTTTTCTGCTGGCGCTTCCTGTTAGAAGAAGTGTATGAAGCAGGACAGGATGCTGTCAGCAGTAGTGGCCAGGAGCTTGAATGGCTCTCCCCTGCTGCTTTGGGTTTAACAGACCTCAAACGGGGGAAAATGGGAATATGCTTGTCAAGACTGTAGGGAAAAAGACCTGTGAACAAGTTCTCCCTTTCTGTCAGTTCCTTGTCCTTACTTAGCAAAGACCTCCTCTGCCAGTAGCACATAACTGGGCCCTGCCAGGAAGTGGATAGAAAGGTACAGAATGCATCAAAGGGTTGTTTAATGTCATCCTGAGAAGTTCTTCAGTTTTGTGGTGAGCTTCATGCCCCCTCCCTTCCCCTCCAGTTCCTTTAATCTCTTCTGCAGCATGCCCACAAGTAAAGCATGGGTTTGTCAATAGCAGAAAGAGAATTCAAAACTGCATAATTCTATGTAATTTAAAATTTTAGTGGTAGGTTCTTCTTTTAAATCCTCTTTTCTAGTAATGTTCTTCTCCTCCTACATGTGCTAAATGTGCCAAACTTCAGCTAGCTGAATTCTCTATAGCATTTAGTGTTAAAGCAAAGGCAGGAGTGATTATAAAGCATGTTGCCTAGAATGAGCTAATAGTACAAAAGAATAGAAGTTATTATTTTGGCTTGCAGTTAGCACAGTTTTCTGTGCATCTGAGTGGCTTTTATTTTGGCAGGAATGCTTCAATCAAATAGTGGTTTTAATCACAAAGCTCTAATGGAATATAAAATATACAGTGATAATACAGCACTGTCAGCTGAAACTTTCCTTCATGTGTCATTTGGGTGGACCAGGGTTAGTAAGCACTTAGCTTGGCTTTGGATGCTGAGAAGGGAGGAAGACCTGCTATAAAGCTTAATAGCACTGTTTGTTTTCTGTTTCAAAAGCTAAACAGCACATTCCAAGATAATCATGTGCTGATGTTAAAATAACATTTTCTTTTAGACCTGATAAAATACAAAATACCCTGAACTTTCGTGGAGGGGGTGTCTTTGCCAAAGAAATAACTTGACTGGACTCTGCAGTTTAGGTTACTTGGGGATTTTTATATATTAACAGTTTCTTTCCTTGTATTCCAAAGGACTTAATGATAATTTGATACTCCTCTTTGCATTTGTTGAAGCTGAACAGACAACAGGATTTCAGGGAGTTTTTTGTATATATAAAATATATATTTTTTTATATATAAAAGCTCTTTTTATTATTTTATTTTTGTGTCCTAGCATATTCAGTTCTATAAGTTGGTGATTATTTAGCTTATGTACTAGAATACATGAAGCAAACCTTACAAAATGCATCACAGCTTTGGGAGGATGGAAGCAGTTTCAGACAACATGCTCCTATTGTGAAGATCCAGGAATGCAAGTTTTGAGTCTCAAATTCAGCCAATGCAGTTATTAAGCTTAATGTCTTAGTATCCTGGACAGTATTGGGATGCCCAGTATGCAGCAAAAGTGAAGAGGCAAGGCTTTGAATGCAGAGGGTCCATCTGAAGCTCATCCCTGGAACAGAGTCTGCTCTTACCAGGCTTAACCTGCAGAAGTGAGGCTCTTTGCCAGTTCTGCATAATGTGTAATGACATAGCTGAAAAGTGTGACTCCAGCAAATACTGCAGAAAGCAAGTCCCTTGGTTAACACTTTATTTTCTTAGCTCCCAGAACTCAGTGCAGCTACTTTTCCAGAAAAGTTGCTGTAAGCTATCCAGAGTAGTATTACATCATACATGATTCAAGGCTTGCTGCTTGTTGCAAGTCTTCACCTACGCTAATGGACTAAAGGTTTTCCTGTATCTTGGCTGTCCTGGAAGCTAATTATAGTCTTTAACTGTGTATACCAAGATCTTGTGTGTACGAGTGTACTTGTTGAAGTCCTTTGAAAGTGCCTTGCTGATAAGGGAGCTATTTTTGCATCAAGATGTCTCCATTAAACTTTTGCAGTTCATTTACAGGCAGTCTTTTGGTGTAGCTGGACAGGGCAAAATTTGTGTTGTCATTTGCTTCAGGTTCTCCTTCTTCAAGCTGGACTACAAAGTTTGAATGGAGCATGGCTTCTTTCCTTTTGGACTTTTAGCATAAAAGTAGCTCACTCAAATTGTCTGTTGCTGTAGTAATGGTTATTTTGATGTATTTGTTCCTGTTATTCAGATGGTCGCCCATTGTATGTGCTGAGATTGGGACAGATGGATACCAAAGGCTTAGTGCGAGCTCTTGGGGAAGAAGCCTTGCTGCGCTACGTAAGTATTTTTGGAGCCAACAAGTTGCTAACAATGTGATATTTTCATTTAGAAATTTCCTCCTTTGCCAGAACATTCATCACACTGGATATTTTGATGTACTCTTTGGCCGTCTGTTTTTGGTTTCAATACATCTGAAAGCTCCTGGTATCTGATCTTCTGCATTCTTTCCAAGTGCAAACTGATGGCGGAAAGGCGTAGTTCCTGGCAGCTCCCTTAGTTATTGGTTAGCATTTTCACAGATTCTTCTGCAGTTGTGCAGTGCTCTAAGCTTCAGTCCCTGCATTTGTACAGAATATAAAATGCCATGCTCAGATTTTATCAAGCCTGTGCTCCAAGGATAAGAATAACTTATTCTTAAAGAAAAAAGTACTTGCCTGTAATTTTGCCTTCTCTAAAGGCATTGCTAAGGCTCTGTTATTGTGGATGTGCTCAGTTTCCAAACCAAAAGATGGCAGAATTCCAGGTTTGCAATGATTTTTTTGTTGTTGTTGAATCCTAAGAAGGACAGTCATGGCCATAATAACCACTAGAAGCTGGGGCTGGAATTTACTTTTTCTCTTCCAGTGGCATTTCCAGGCATATACTATATTTTGTTTGTTTGCCCTACTTCTGTTACAAGACTCTTTTCTGCAGCTTAAGAAGAGGCTTTTAATTTCTGAGTAAATAAGAAATCAATGCTTAAAGGGGCAGGGGGACTTCTTGTCTGTATCACTCCTGGGGCTCAGTTTTGCAGAGGAACTTGCTTATATTTTACTGCCTTTCTGGAAGAGTACGTTTATTTTTCAACAAGATCAACCAGTGGGGTAAATGTGGTGATTTCTAGCTCATTCTTTGGGGGGAATAAAAGTTTATGCTGGTTGAGTTTGTAGTTTTAATTACACTTTGGATATAAACCTTTTCCTTTTACTTTATCCCATCTACTGAGTTTAAGGCTGTCTTCTTTAAACAACGTGTCTTGTTGTACAGGTTCTTTCAATAAATGAAGAAGGACTGAGGCGGTGTGAGGAGAACACAAAAGTATTTGGCAGGCCAATAAGGTAAAATACAAGTGGATCTGCTCTTTGGGAATTACCTGGTTTCATGGGGTGTGTGGGGAACATGAGGCAAAGGGATGCTGCTGAGCAAAGTTTATTAAGTGGAACAAGAGAGGGCTGTGTGTCTCACAGGCAGATACAAGTATAGTTATAGTTATGAGAGCCTCCTCAGTTACCAGTAGAGTAGGTCTGCATGGCAAAGCCCGAGGGAAATGCACATCTGCTCCAGCAGTCTTGGTGTCATGCTCATAAGGGTTCTACATGAGGGCTGTTATGCTCCTGCTCTCTTCCATTGTTGTACATCTGCAAAGCAATGCAGCCTGACTCATATTTCTCTTCTGGGGGGATTTTATAGTCAGACATTGGTACAGAATGCCAAAAAGTTCAGGCTATGATATCATGGATAACCTTTCCAGTAGTTTCAAGTATTGTTTTCATGTTATTTAAGCCTTAGCATGGACTATGGATGAACATTATACTCAGTTCTTGTTTGCATTCTCCATTTTTCTATGTGGTTGCTCAACTCTTGTTTCAAAGTAAGCTCATGAGGCACCTTGTAGAACCTGGGGTCTAGTTTTCCAAATACTGGCACAACTTGATGTGAAGTTCAGTCAGAAATGTCTTGTTATCCCATCTTCAGGTCATTGTAGGGCTCACTTGCGAAAGTGTTAACTGCATAATGGTTTTAAGGGTGTGGAATGAATGCAGGACTGGCCCTAAAAAGAAACAGTGTTTCTTGGATTCTTTTCAATTTCTGAGTCCTTCCATTACCCTGTGAAGGTTCAGGGATGTGTGGTATGCCTGCTTATCTAGTCTCTGTTAAAGAACTTGCTGTCCTAGCTCTCAGTGGGAGGTCAAATCTGAGTGATGGGTTTTGTGTGTGGAAGTGTGAAAAAGTGCTGCTCGCTGGATCTCCATTTGTAGAAGTAATCCTAAAGGGCTACATACCGAACATTTAAAGTGAAACAAATAAGGGTTTACTGTTTCATAGAAGCCATAATTTAATGGATGCTAGCTGGTACAGCACAGAGGTAAATCTTGGATCTATGCCTAGGGCAAGACCTGAACTTGGGAAGTAACTAAAACACGTGCTAAAGCTCAGTGTTTAGTATAAGAACATACCTCTTCCTATAGAAAAAGCTGCTTTCCCTGAGACCTGACAGCAGAATTAGCTTTGACATGTAATGGCATTATTACTGTACTGTGTTGGTAAGAAGTCTGCACTGTAAATGTTAAATTGCCTCATTGCAGCATGGCCACTTAATCGATTTCCCAGTAAAAGCAATGGTTTAACATTTGGGTGGCCTTTGACAGTATCTTTTTTGGCTTTATTTTAACCTTCACCTAGAGTCTGGAATGTCTCTGGGGGAATACGTGTGATGTGCAAAGTGATCATTGCACAGACTCTGTAACCATGCTTGGCACGCTCTTAAGATATTTCTGTTTGGAGGACCTTAAACTCCAGTGTCTACAGGTAGTACAAAACAAGGAGGTAAAACAGAAGAAACCAAAACATGCAGTGGGATCCACGTGTTTCAGTACATTGGACACTTGCATGAGAAAAGAGAATTTTGATGCTATTGAGGTTTTTCTTTTCACTTTTGTCTTTCTCATATTCAGCTCTTGGACCTGTCTAGTAGATCTGGAAGGTTTGAACATGCGGCATTTATGGAGACCTGGTGTCAAAGCATTGCTAAGAATCATTGAGGTGGTCGAAGCTAATTACCCTGAGACTTTGGGTCGTCTTCTTATCCTAAGAGCACCTCGAGTATTCCCAGTTCTTTGGACACTGGTATGTTTGTAATTCAGGGTATCCCTTAGCACACTGCTACACACTTGTTTGTAAGAGCTCTTTAGAAATCAGGTTTTATAAGCAGGAATGTTACTACTTGGAAACATCTTTCTTCATAGGGTTCCTGGTGTGGGTTAAAAAACACTACCTAAGAACTTGCTTCTGCAGTCAGTTAATTTAGCTTCATTGTAGTGTGAACTAAAGAGGATGGTAACAATCAAACTGATTCCTTCAAAATTCATTTGAGAAAATTGTGAGTGCCCGATCTAATCTGTTTTTCTTTGTTTGTAGGTTAGTCCCTTCATTGATGACAACACTAGAAAGAAATTCCTTATTTATGCTGGAAATGACTACCAGGGTCCTGGGGGACTGCTGGATTACATTGATAAAGAAATCATCCCTGATTTTCTTGGTGGAGAGTGCATGGTATGAATATAAACTAGTGTATATAGCAAATTACTTGTGGGGTTTTATTTTTTCCCCCTCCATTCCTTTAAACAAAGAAGCCCTGAAGCACAGGATGATTCCTAATATAGTTTGGAGGCAGGGACTATGATTTCCCAGCCTGTTTTCTTCTGGATGCACAGTGAATATCAAATAACTTACCAAAATAGCCAAGGTTAAAAGCCACAGTCTGTTACGTGACAGGTTCAAGCAGATGTGGCAGCAGAACACTGCACGAGAGCTGTCACCATCAGAAGAGTCTGTGTCACCTGAAAGAATTAACCAATACCATAAGGAGCCCAAGGAAATACATGGCACGCCTGCTAGCAGGGCTTAACAGCCAGGACTCCTAGCCCCCAGCAAACTAAAACCATTGCTTTACTGTAATTTCTCTGTCCCTTGTCATATGCTTTAGTAGCTGTTCCCTGCCTACACTATGGGTGTCAATTGAATCTGTCATTTTAACATCTCAATGATACTGTAAGGTTTTTCTCTGTAATGTTTTTGACAACACAGGCTCACTGTTGTGGTTGAGATGTAGGAGTGCAGCTGGGGCATTTTGTGGAGCCTCTGTCACAGTAACACTTAAGTGACTTTTTTTCCTGAACTCAGCTGTGTTAAATTATAATTTCAGGCTTGCTTTTTAAGCCCCTGTGTACTTTTTTAGGTTAATTTCTGTACCATTCTTGAAAATTCATCTAGGTCTGTTCAAATACAGTATCAAATTATAAGGAAGCCTGTTACATGTGGCAGAGTAGAGCTTGTGTTTATCTTGAGTAGGCTGTTTTCTGCTGAGCAGTAGCTTTCAGTGGAGAGGATTTGTGCTATCTAATTTGAAGCTCAAGAAGCTGGCAAAATCCACTGCTTAATAAGCAAAAGTAAATGTTACCAGACAGCAAATTGCTACAACACTTGTCCTTCACAGAAAACGATAGTCTCTTTACTCTTCTTGACTTCTGGATATATGAATAAAAATGACTTCTCGGAGATTACTCCAATTCTGTGTTGTAATGCAGTTATCAAACACTCCTATGAAACCTATCTCTGGTCAGATAGTTGTCTAACTTCATTACTAGAGATACTTTAAAGAGAAGATTGCTTAGGAAGTTGTGTAACCACTTCTAGTACTGAGCTGTTATAGTTGTAGCTTCAAAACTGTTACCTTCCTTGACTGCATTACCCTTTTTTCTGTTTGGAAGCTTACTGCATCTCCCCACCATCCTTCAGTTTAGCTACCCCAGTTCTTTCAGGTCTGTGTAGGCTACAGTTTTTAGACTGAGTCCTTGTTGCCACTTGCCTCAGGATTCTTAAGTGGCTCACATCTCTATAGGGCAGTATGAGCATTGACAGTTATTTTCTATGGTGGTGCTGTTGTGCATATGCAAGATCTGTTCCCCTGGTGTCTAATTCTGCAAACTCACCTAAAGCAGCTCATTGTAAAATATGTTTATGTATGTGTGATATGCAAGCTATAAAATTACTTTCAAACTCTGTGTCTCATTCTTCAGAGTACTTGCTGAAGGTGAGTTTTGGCTTCTGAAGCTAGCAGGCAGAGTGTGTGACAGGGTGTGGATGTACAAAGGGGATACTTTATAATGGCTGTTTATGCTTTCAGTGTGAAGTGCCAGAGGGTGGGCTGGTTCCCAAGTCCCTCTATCGGACAGCAGAAGAGCTGGAAAATGAAGACATAAAGCTTTGGACTGAAACAATCTACCAGTCTGCAAGTGTCTTCAAAGGAGCTCCACATGAGGTATGGCTGCAGCCTACCCTTTTCTTTCATCTCAGCCCTCCACTCTGGACTCTTTCTTGACAGAAAATGGTTTCAAAATTAATTATTTAGTTGCCAAGCTTCTACCTTGTTGTCCTGTAGTTAAGGTGCATAAAGATGCTTTAGTAGCTGAAGTTTGTCACCATTCCTTGTATTGTCATCTTGCCATTTAAAGAACATGTCTGGTTTTCATTCCATTCAAATATCTTCTAAGCAAAGACAAACAATATTCTCAGAAGCTACTTGAGAGCTTTTGGAAGTCATATGTTAAAACAAATGTACTGCATCAGGTGAGAATTTGTGATGCCTTTCTAATAGTTGCTGGGCTTAGTTTCAACAAAAAGCTCTGTCTGTCTTCTTTTTTGGTGGGAGTTGGTCTTTACTGAGCAAATTGCTATTGTCTAATATGACTTTTCTATCTCAGGTTCTCATTCAGATTGTGGATGCCTCATCTGTCATCACATGGGATTTTGACGTGTGCAAGGGCGACATTGTTTTTAACATCTTTCATTCCAAGAGAGCCCCGCAGCCTCCTAAAAAGGACTCTCTGGGAGCTCACAGTATTACTTCTCCTGGTGGGAACAATGTCCAGTTGATAGACAAAGTCTGGCAGTTGGGATGTGATTACAGTATGGTGGAGTCTCCCCTTATCTGCAAAGAAGGGGAGAGTGTGCAGGTGAGACCACTGAATCCTCTGGGGGGAGCAGGTGGAGGCCAGCTCCAAAGTGACACTTTCTAATTCACAATTATTATTGATGACTGAGTGGTGATTCAGCTCCAGGCTGTCTGCTTGCTTTTGGCTGACATTTCGGCTTCTGTTCCTAGCTGCATGCTGCAGGGAATGGGGATAGTATTTACATGGGATCTGCAGTGAGGGGAGGTTATGTCAGTCCAATAGTGACTGAGATTGATCAGCAAGGACCTTAGGGAAGTCACCTAGGATGAAGTGCTCATCCTGAAAGCAGCAAGACATGCTGCGTACTGTAATTTTGACCATTATTTTCTGAAGCAAACAGTCTGTGTTTGAGGAATATCATAGTCTCTTAGCGCAATAATGGGAGAAGTGTGGAAATTAATACTTGGCTTCTGTGTGTTTGTCCCTCTGATAGGTACCCTAAGAAGCTCCCTATGGCCAAGGTTCCTGATAGCTTTTTTTCATGGCATTTGCAACCTATCCTTTAATTACCAAATTTGATATTACATGCAGCCTGTTTGCAGTCACACTCTAGCACTGCTTTTCCTTTTAACTTGAAATAAGAGTTGAAGAGCCTTTGAAAAAGCTGTTCCTTAAGTCACCTAACTGGAAGTGTTTTAACTGCAAATATGGGCAGTGACCTCTTGAACTATGGTTTCTCTTTCTGTGAGGCAGGAGCCTTGACTGCCCTTCTCCCAGTCTCAAAGGGCAGCCATTAATGAAAGTAAGTGGAAAAAATGGGTATTGTTTTAAAGAAGAACTTTGTCCTTTTCAGTATATTTAAATCCTAACCCCCTGACTCTGGCAAAAAAAAAAGCAGGAGGAACCTCTGGCATTGTCATAACGTTTATAAGCATGTGCTGTGTGGGGAATGTTGACCAGCACTGCCAAGTAGGTGGCTGAGGAGCTGAAATACTGGCACTGAGGAAAAACTGATGGGCATCCAGGCAGCTTTTCGAAGCTTGGAAGAGAAATTTCAAGCCTAGAAATATTCATGTTGACAAAGTTAATTTTTCATTCTTGCTGTGGCTGTTTCCAGGGATCACATGTGACCAGGTGGCCTGGCTTCTATATCCTCCAGTGGAAATTTCATAGTATGCCTGCCTGTGCTACAACCAACCTGCCTCGTGTGGATGATGTATTAGCATCTCTACAGGTCTCCTCTCACAAATGTAAAGTGATGTACTATACAGAAGTAATAGGATCTGAAGATTTCAGGTATGTATGGCCAAGGTTCATGAAGGTCAGGTGATATCGAACCTTTCTGATACTTAGACGATCAAGCACTGTCAAGTTCCTATAAATACGTGTAAATTGTGAGGATTTGTGTTTTCTTAGGCCTCAAGAAAAACAGTAGATAAATTCAGCCGTTACTGGCACTGGGGGAAACTAATGTATAAAAGGGGTTAATTAGTTATCTCATTATAATCATCTCTGGTCACTTTGCTATGAAAGCATTGTGTGAGTTGTTGGGCTTGGCAGGTTGCCATGTAGAAATGGGTGCAACTCAAAATGGAGCTGAGCCAGTTCAGTTCCCTGCCAGTTGATCTATTTGACTGGAACTCATTCTAAGTCTCTTTGAACAGCATATATTTTTTTGCAAGGAGGTGTGTGGTGTACCCATTATCTTATGTGTAAGGGAAAAAAGCTTTTGAGTATCTGTCCCAAAACTGTTACTTGCTTTTATTCAGTGTGCAGACAAACCCAGTGTAGATCCATAGCAGAAATCAAAATCTTTGTATGTTCAGAAGCTTGAAACTACATTTGTTTTCATTGCAGGGGATCCATGACCAGCCTTGAATCAAGCCACAGTGGATTCTCCCAGCTCAGTGCTGCCACCACCTCTTCTAGCCAGTCCCATTCCAGCTCCATGATTTCCAGGTAGTGCCACAACAGATGAAAAGCAAATGGATGAGATGGCTGGACCCTCGCCTGTGGCAGCTGACTGCAATACACCATATTCAACTGGCAATTGTGCAAAAAAACCCCCACCCCACTAAAGCCTTTTATAGATAGTAAAGTAGCTGTTTGAATTTTAAACTTAGTGGTTTTGGTCTTTGTTAGTTCCAACAGGTAGTCTCTTAAGTTTAACCCTTTTTCCTAATGCAGCCATAAATACTTTTGCAAGTATGCTTGCACAAATCCTAACTCTGAACACAAGGGCTCTCACTGAAAGGAAAAATAACCAGTGCATCAGTTAGGAATCATTTTTAACTGTGTAAATGTTTAAAAGTGAAAAAGAAAAAACCCTACCAAAAGTGCTCCGTAGTGCATTAGAGATCAACTGCAAGTCTCCTGTCAGGACATTCCTTGCCATCTCAAGAAATCCCCTGTGGTCTTCCAGTACTGCAGACTGTTCTCCCATTGCCACCAAGTGATGTCCGAGACAAAGAAAAGCAGTTGCTGGATACTTGACTTTGTGAGTCCGTTCTTTTTCAAAGCATGCCCACTGAGCTGTGGCCAGGCTGTAAACACTAATACCTTTTGTATGAGCACATTTTTGGGGAATCTTGAGCTCTGGGTCTTGATGGGTTAAAGCAATTCATTCTTTCCTTGGATTTGTGCTTGAAGCACTGTGGAGAGAGAGGCAGAGAGCAGGCTCTCCCTCACTGTGTCATGCTGGACTGATCCTGATTTGTTCCCATCTCAGTGCTGGAGCTTCACTCCACTTCGTTAGTACACTCCACATGAATTGATTTTACTGAGACACTTCTTATCCAGAATTTATGCACAGCTTAAGCTTGCTTCTTGAATCAGTCCAAAGAAGGCACGGCTTACATCCTTCCTGTGCACTTTCCAATCCTTCTAGCCTCCCATCCTTCCCTGTGCATGTTAGAAACAGAGGGCTTGTGTTCTGAGCAGCAGAAGCTTTGCCATAGGCAGGGAGCACAGCGATCTTCACTCTAAGTGATGCAGCAAGAGATGTCTTAAGTGGTGCCTGTTCAACCATTTTAACTGCCAGAGGGGAATTGCCAGTTTGGGTTTTGTCCCCATTCTACCCAAGCCTAAAAAGTCCTACTTGAACTCTTTTGTTAGTCAGTTCAGGTATCCTACTTCGAGCCCTCTCTTCCACACACAGCAAAAGGCCCGAAGAGCTGAGCAAAGAGCTCAGCTCTAAGCAGACAACTACAGACCATACATGGCATTGGGGCAGAGAAGATTTCAGTCTGAAATGCAGCAGGTTTTGCATTAAGTTAGACCCTGCTTGGTCTTTCCTCACCCTTTTAGAGCTAAACCGTCAATCCATGCAAAAGGAGCTACTGTGGTGGCTGCAGGCCTTGCTAGGAAGCCAAAGAGGCTCTAGTCTTGGGGAGACAGCATAAGCGGTGGCTAAGTGGTAGAGGAGATTGTGGAGGTATTGCACTTTCAGAGCAGAACTTGCTTAAGATACTGGATGCCTTGCCTGAGGAAAGCTGGTTCTGAACTCAGCATAAACCTTGTTTTATAACTGCAAAGTCTCTGAGAGCATGTCTCCTGTGGACCACTTCTGGCTGTGGCTGACACACGTGTCAGGTTTAGAGGTGCTGAGAGGCCAGTATCCTTAAAGTGAACCAAGCTCATTATTTTGTCTATTCTGGACTTAGAAATTGAAGATGGAGATTAAACTGTTACTTAGGCTGCCATAAGCGTGCTGTTGTGTGAGAAAAGCCACCACTGGTGTCAAGCACCTCCCCAGCCAGCACCTGCACAGCAGATGACCATGAGTTGTGGCTTCTGGGCTGCTCATACGAGCTCTGTGCCTAGGAGGAACCTGAAGGAGGTGCTTTGATTCTTGCCAAGCAGGAACCAGTATTCCCAGGCACAGGGAAGCCAGCACAGCAGGAGGCACAGTGAGGTTAATTAAATTAATGACAGTCATGGCTCTTTGCAAATGCCACTTTCCATTTACTGGGCTGCAAGGGTTGAAGATGGTCCCCTTTCTTTCTCTCTCTCCCTCTCTCTCTCTCTCAGATGGCGATTTTGCTGACAACTGTAAAGAAACTGCTTCATTCAACACTCCACATCTGTCCAGAGGTGTCTGGCTTTGTAGACCTTTTTGAGTTGCAGTCACTTTTCAAGTCTGAAGATCTAGATTTTGTTTTGCACTTGAGCTGGCTCAAAAGTGGCACTTTGGGGTTTTCCTGCTGTTCATCTTAACATCCTTTAGAGCTCAAAGCACATGACAGCACAAACAGCTGGGGAGATAAAATTCCACAAAACCAATAGTTCCTCCTCCTCTAAGCAAAGTGCTGTGGCAATATGACTTGATTGCTGCAGTCTAATTAATTTCCCATAGCCTGGTCTGTCTTTGTGTGATATTACTGCTCTTCCTTCTCCCTGCCAATGACTCTTCTGTTGGCTCTTTTCCTGTTATGGGTGTCCCCTCTGCACTCTCCTGTCTGTACTCATGAACTGCATATCAAACCCTGTAAATGTTTTGTATACATAATACCTCATTCTTGGTAATAAAATACAGATAGTCTTTAAAAGATTTTTTTATCGTTATCAATAAATGTGAACTGTTTGGAGAAAAAAAAGGATCTGCTTCTTTTTCATCCGTCTGATGCAGAGCTTCCAGGTTATTGTATGTGCTGAATTGGAGTCTGCCAGATCTGCTTTGCAGGACACTCTCCACCAGCAAAGCTCTCTGTCTTGAGGAGCAGAAACCTGAGCAGGTCCTGGTACATGGAATGTGGTTTTAGAGGGGAAAACGGCCTCTGCTGGTTGCTTCCTTATCACATCACAGAATCCTGCAGTCCTGATCCACCTCTGGGGCAACAGCACAAGAGAGACGTGGAGCTGTTGGAGCAAGGCCAGAGGAGGCCATGGAGCTGCTGCGAGGGCTGGAGCAGCTCTGCTCTGGAGCCAGGCTAAGAGCTGGGCTGGGGCAGCCTGGAGAAGAGAAGGCTCCTGAAGGGGAGACCTTAGAGCAGCTCCAGTGCCTGAAGGTGCTGCAGGAAACCTGGAGAGGGGCTTGGGACAAGGGATGGAGGGACAGGCCAAGGGGAATGGCTTGAACCTGCCTGAGGGGAGACTGAGCTGAGCTCTTAGGCAGAAGCTCTTCCCTGTGAGGGTGCTGAGGCGCTGGCACAGGGTGCCCAGAGAAGCTGTGGCTGCCCCATCCCTGGCAGTGCTCAAGGCCAGGTTGGACACAGGGGCTTGGAGCAAGCTGCTCCAGTGGAATGGGTCCCTGCCTGTGGCAGGGGTTGGAGCTGGAGGAGCTTTAAGGTCCCTTCCAACACAAACCAGTCTATGGTGCTTGGTATGAGGATGACTCTTTAAGGGTGAGCTTTTAACCAAAGCACTGCTCTGCAGTTACTTTGTGGCCGCAGCTGCTGTGAGGGTTGTGGTTGTTTTAATTGAAATTGAACAATACAAAGGTACAATGATTCTGTCTCTCTCAGGAATAAGCATGCTGCTCTAGAGAGTGGCTCAGTACTGCCACTTGCAGGGGGGAGAACTCCGTGGTGTGGGGGAGATGGGCTCCACGGTGACCCCATCACTGACACGTGGGAGGCTGAGGCACATTTGGGGAATTAAGGTTGTGTTTTTATTAGGAGAAACAGGCAAAGCTTTAGCTATTTTTAAACCAGGAGCCAATAAATGTCAGGCTGGGCTTCTCCTGACCTCTGGGGTTGGAGCAGTGGCTGAATCACCCATTTATGGTCGGTCTTCCAGATTCTATCCATGCTGTAAAGCTTCTGCAATGACAATCTGTAACTGTGGCCGCGGAGCCCGGTCAGCAGGACCAGATGGCTGCCTGACCTACTTCCACTCTGAACGTGTGGCCAGCGCTTTTGTGCCAGCCCATAATTATCACTGCCACTCAGGATGTTACCAAAGACAAAAGCCCTTGAAAAGGCATCGCACAAGGAGCTGGCTTGTGCTGTTTGGCTGTGCTGAGCCCAGGGGGGAAGCTGCCTTCTCCAGCCAAGGCTCCTCTCTTGAACTGAAACTGGCAGTGAAATAAGGGCTGAGGCTCTTAGCTCTGAGCTGGGCAGGTGCCAACGGTGCTGGCCAGGGCTGCTCCACCACACAGCTCCCCTGGGGAAGGCATTGCTCTGGTTGAATGAACCCTGTGCTTTGGTTGGGGGGGGTGCTGATGGGCGGCAGCTTTGTACCCCCAAATGCACCGTCTGGCGCTGCTGGGGTGTTAAGGCACAAACCCCACCAGCCCAAGCCCAGGGTATAAAGGGTTTAAAGGTTGGACTTGCTCCTAAAGGTCTTTTCCAACGTACTTGATTCTGCAGAGCCCACGAACAGGGGCAAGGAGCTGGGGCGATGCCCACGCGTGGGGCCGGGGCCGTGATGCGGGCACAGGGCACCGGAGGCGGCTGCAGCGCCGCGAGTCCCCGAGGAGCCCCACTAGATGGTGCCAGCAGCCCACGTACGGCCGCGGCCACCCAGCCCCTGAGGGCCAGGGATGCGGTGTGGGGCTGGGGCTGGTCATCACCCATCCCCTCACCCTGTGCCCTCCACAAGCCCCAAACCACCCTGCCCCTGATGAGAGGATGCTCGACTGTCCTCCGAGCATCAGCCTGTCGTTTGGTTTGCTCTCCTGGTGTTTGGGATCTTCCGAAACAGCCATTATCTCACAGGGGTCATGAGAAAGTTAATATTGGAGAAACCCCGTTGGAGCTGGTGGGAGAAATCCTGTGGAAGTGCAAAAACATCCTGCACATTGCAATGGCCTCAATCAGAATTAGCTCACGAGCTGTAACCACTTTGGATTTATTATGTGCAGGACTCCACCAGGGAAAGGGAGGTGAAAGAGGAGGAGCAGCAGAGTTAGGAAGATGGGAACGGAAAATACACCACTGTTCCTCAAAAGAGCATCTTAAACGGGCCCAGGGTGGGCACCACACTGTGTTTGTAGTAAACCACTGTGTCCCTCTCACCACATGGGACTGTAGGTGCGAGCACTGATGCTGCTCCCACCCTGGAGCCACCACAGAGCCCCTGCAGCTCTCCAGGGCCACCCAGTCTGTCTCCATCAGTGGCCACAAGCTGAAAAGGGCGAGCACAAGGTAAATGCATAAAATCCCTCCCCTGAGCCTGCC